CGAGTGGTTGTTACATGTGATGAGAGTAAATTGAGCTGCAGTTCTACTTTGAGCATCATTAGGTTCAATAAAACCATTGTAACCAACAGTGCAAGTGTAACATCTCTTTAAGGATAAGATGAGGATTTCTTTTTCTTTCTTTTTTCCTGATTTTCTTGTTATGTTTTAGGTTCTTATGTTTACATGTATGTGTTTCTGTGTATAGTGCTAAAATGGGTTTCTTTTAACCCTTTGTGCTCAGATTTTTCTTTTTGATAAAGCTTTAATTAAGTTCCTAGGTCAAAACCATTACAGTAACTACATACGTTTTCTTTTGTTATTCTAACCCATTTGGGACAAACGAGCATTGATTTTTCACTAAATATAACTCGCAATGGAGAAAGCTGTTTCACTTGGTATACTACTAGGTGGAATTGCTATATAACTTTTTGCAATAATATTCATTCCACACAACATCAAGACCGTTCATAGAAAATAACGTTAACATTCACCAGAACATTCTCGTTGACGCTCGAAGACGTCATGTTTAGCGTTCACGTTCAAGAAACGCCAACGTCCTTTGGCATTATGTTCAAAGAGAACGCTAAAAAGGAACCCTGAACTTTCGCAGGCCTAGCCCTAAATGTTCATTGTCAGCTCAAAGCTACAGAAATAAGGAAAAATTAATTTAGAGCTTTTCTCGTAAATTCTATAACCTTGCAAAGAAAGGTCCTCTAGAGCTGGGAGATGTCTCATCTTAATCAGAAATGTGCGGGCTACAATTATGGCTCATTAAGAAAGGTTTTGATTATTTCTGAGAATTCTTGAAAAACTGGTTTTCCAGAAAACCGGATCTTCGAAGGCCTAAGAGGAACCCCCATAGTCATATTCGGAATCAGCATGATGGACTACCTATATTCCACTAAGTTACTGCTCGAAAGCGACTGGGCAGTTGGGGAACGTTCCCTCGTTAGCAAAACATGTTTCCTTTATGGACTTCAGACATAGAATATTGTAAGTTCACAAAGTGAATATTAAGCGATAATAAGGAAACACTCGAATAATATTACCTTGAAAACAATCCAAGTACTTGCAATTTTACTTGAGAAGCGCTTGTTCAAGTGCTTGTCAAGTGAAAAATCAAGTATTTGCATGCTGAACAAGTACGTACAAGTAAATTTATTTCAGGAAAAAAGACAAGTACCGGCTTGATTACGCAGGCGGAGTACTTGTCCCAAGTGTTTGGGCACAAGTACATTGTCTGGGGCGCAACGACATTTGGGCGTGGCGACATTTGGGCGCGGCGGCATTTGGGCGTGGTGACATTTGGGCGCGGCGACATTTGAGCGCAAGTCTATCATAGCACATTAATGGATATACCGACATTACCCCGAACTGGCATTTCCGCGACAACAGACTCACCCCACACCACACACTGCCAAAAACACCAAGTGTGTGCTATGAAAAAGTCGGAAGTATCGGTTCGCGGAAAAGTGATGTCACGGCTCAAATGTCAGTTAATCATTGGTATATATCATGAACGATAAATTTATGGATCTAAATGCGTATTGAAATATGAATTCTGAAATCCAAATATCGTTGAGCCCTAGTGTCGGCGCCCAAATGTCGGCATACCGCTCACAAGAAGAGGTAAAAAGGAGCAGTTAAAGTTTCCTAAAATTCTCGGTCATGTTAGGTGCTATGCAGCTCAGACTGGTTTCTCACGTGCGTTTGAGATAGAGATTGGTCTATGGTTCATCAATTGTAGGCCTAATTCGAAAATTTGGAAGAACAAGCAATTCTAAGTGCCGCCTGTTAGTCTTCAATAAGTTCATTAATCAGTAGTAAACTGAGTTACAGGGCAACTTCATTGTGTATTTTTATTAGTGTTATTTTCGCGGATCAAAAGCTTAAAATAAGCCAATCTTATAAAACTCCAAAAACGATTAACGTTTAATCTAATGAAGATCGGCTTTCCAGTTCTTGATTACTGAACCCAAATGCTGTTTCAAGATCGTTTTTCGTAGGATCCCATGTACAGCTCCAAGGAGATTTTCCTAACGCATTCTAGAAAAGAAAAGACTTTTATTTATATTTTTGAAATCACTCCTAGCTATTACACACCAATATTTCCATTTCATTCTCTGGAATTGACCAGTTAAACACATCGGCATTCTCCATTAATCGCTTTTCACTTGATGTTCTTGGAATTGTGATCAAACCACGTTGGACGGACCATCGAATTAAAATTTGTGCTGGAGTTTTCTGTAATCTAGTAAGAAAACATTTTAAGAGAACCCTTTGATATGTATAAGGCTTTTTTCGTTCAAGTAAACACATAAGGAATGTGGTCAGTGGAGAAGCTTTGAGACTAGCAGAACAAGTTTCAAAACTTCCAGTCTCAAAATGTTCTAATCTCTTAGAAACAACTCCTTCAATTAAAGATCATTAGTCTTATTGGTTCATCATACCCATGCAGAAATAGGCGGCTAACCCATGGCACACAAGTCTTGCGAGGGAACCTCCCGAGGTGGTAAACCGCTTTTTGATCGAAATCGAGTGGGTTATAGGTTATTAACTATGCTGATTCCGAATATGATTATGGGAGTTTCCCATGGTCGTTCGAAGATCCGGTTTTCTTGAAAATCAGTTTTTCAGAAATTCTGAAGAATAACCAAAATCTTTCTTAATAAAATATAATTGTAGCCCGAAAATTTCTGATCAAAATGAGACATCTCTCAACTAGCCATGATCTTTCTTTGCAAGGTTATAGAATTTACAAGAAAAGCCCTAAATGTTCAAAGCTACATAATAAGAATACAGAAATACGAAGAAATTAATTTAGGGCTTTTTATTGTAACTTTCTCTTAATAAGCCACGATTGTAGCCCACGAAGTTCTGATTAAAATGAGACACCTCCCAGCTCTGCACGACCTTTCTTTGCAAAGTTATAGAATTTACAAGAAAAGCCTTAAATTCTGTAGCTTTGATCTGACAATGAATATTTGGGGCCTTTTTTGTAGATTCTATAACTTTGCAAAGAAAGGTCGTGCAGAGCTAAGTAATCTGTAGCTTGTGCAACTCAAGAGAATCGAAAATTATAGAAGTTTTTCTGTGAGCTACTTTCTACATAAAACGGCATTCTACGAAAAGAAGAATAATCAATAAATGTTAAACATTTTGTCAGAGAGGAAAAGAAAAGTAAGTACAGCAATTTTGTAGAGCAAACTTTGCTCTACAAAACTATTGTATTAAAGGATGTTTCATGTTTTGAGTTAAGTAAGTTTTAATGAAAATACAAAAATGGACCAAAAATATTCTGTATAGACTCATTTCTGGCTCTTTCAAACATTAGCTCACAGTTAATCAACATTAAGCCAGAAAAATAATTTGAGTATATATTTGGAAAAGTTCAAAATTCTGATTCTAACTGGCTCCTTTTGACTCTCAACAATTGCTAATAAGGGTTTGGAAAATGAACAAATATTTTATACCAAGACTGTCGCGCCACGGGTTATCATCACTTTCCTGATGTAACCATGGCTCAACAATAGCTGTCGACACAGGTTTATTTTAGAAATTCCATCTTAGGAGTTCTATTTTGTTTACTGGTGCATCAGTGTTAGGGCTGTGACAGTTACCAGTTACCGTTACCATCGTTCCCCGTTACTAACGGTAACTATAATTGACATAAAACTAATAAGCATCGTTCCTGCTTAGTAGAGGTAATGGTAATTGATATACGTAAGAAATCCTTCACCCTTCAGTAACGAGGAACGATGCTTATTAATTTTAGATCAGTTACCGTTACCTCTAGTAATGGAGAACGCTGGTAACGGTAACTGGTAACTGTCACAGCCCTAATCAGTGTTCGATAAAAGGCTGCTTGTAGTGGAAAACAAAATTGCTTCACCGTGACGTGTGACCGAAAATAAACCCTGACCAAAACAATGCTCTCGGTTGTTTTTGATTGAAAAAGAGCTAAACAGTTTCGGTTTTCACCATTCAAAAGACGAGACTTTAGGACATGTTTTTGTAACAGTATCAATTCAGAAGTATCTGTTTAAAGTAGGTTTCTTCAAGCGAGATCTTGATTCTCCACGATATGGGGATGGTATCGTATTTCCATGGGGCTCCAAGACTGTATACTTTTCTTCCTAAAAGGGATTTTAAGACCAAAGAAATAGAAAATCATGTTTCTGATCTAAAGTTTTCTGGATTCTTTTCGAAAAACAAAGAATGACATCAGATTTAACTTGATCGATTACGCATGTTCATGCAACAAACTTACCTCATGCCACCTGATACCGGCGCTGGAGCTCCATGGAAATGGGATACAGCGTCCAAACTACTGAAAATCAAGGTCTTGCTTGACTCTCCTTTTGAAGAGAAGATTCTGGACAAACTCCATATGGAAGAAAATCAAAATATTCGTTCTTGGTCTTTTTCTCTAATAGTGAGAAAATATTCTAAGAGAACCCTTCGATCTGTGTTAAATTTTTGTCTGGTTCAAGTACGTCTGTTTCCAAGTACCCCCACTTTATAAAGCCAAAGAGCGCCGAGAGCCTTATGAGTACTACTAACAGGGATATAACATCTTGCAACAGCTATACACGATACCCACATGGGGCACGGATCGATAAGAAAATATGGTTTATCCGAAATGCCTTCGGTAATGAACTAGCGTAGTGCATAAATGAAATCAGCCATCTATACAAACAAACAATCGCTTATTCTGGCACTTTAAGCCCATAAACTAACTGTTTAAACCTCTAGTAAATTTTCCATCGTTTAATCGAATTACTGCTGGTAAATTTCATTGTACAAATTACTGATTTCGAATGCAGCTGTTCTGTGAGCAGCATGAAAGAGGCGGTACATAAGAAAAAAACCTGGTCGTGCTGTCCAGCCAGAATAATGAGACTCAAAGGCTGGTTCCAAAACTGCTTTACTACCATCCTCATTCGATAACAGGATTCAAAGTTTCTCAATATCTTCTATACTCACTTTTGAGCAATTTGAATAATAGTTTCGTCATCGACTTTTTTGCCCTTTGCTAGTGGCGAATAACCGATAATAACGATATTTTTCGATTGACAGTAATTCACAATATCCGTTTTTAGCTGCCACGGATGCATTTCGATTTGATTGACCGACGGCAAATCCAATCCCAATTTTTCAAGTGCCTTCAGGTGGTGTATACCGAAGTTTGAAACGCCCAACGATCTAAATTTGTGTAATACATTTTCTTGTAAAAAAAACGCTGTGCCCTATAATTGTATCTCACCTTATTTTGCCGCTTTTTTTATGTTCTTGCAGTGCCCGATAAACTTCACCACACTTACCTCCCTGTGGTGCGTGTAACAAATACAAATCAATGTAATCTGTTGCTAAACTGCAAGAGATAACATCCGAAAAAACAAATGGTGTTTCATTCTAGTTCAGTTTGTTTATTACTTTTTCAAAGTTTTTTCTACTGTTTCGTTGGCGCCATCGACACCGTCCGCGGTGGTATATAACTTTGAAACAATGAAAAGCTCCGAGCGCGGTATTTGACTTTGTCTAATACCTTCTCCCACTTCGGACTCATTTCTACCAAGAAAAATAATGTCTTCTGTAAATATAGTACAGCCAGCTTGCATCACTTTTAGCACTTAATGGAGCAGAAGAGCTCGATAAACGGATGATCGAACTTAGAAACTAACTACTTTCATTCGAATCTCGCACTGGACTGTATCTGACCGTTTTTACTTGACAGAAACGTCTTATTCAAAAATAAACATTACGAGCCAATGTCTGTAACAGTCAGGGAAGTTGATCTTCTCAAAATTTGATGAAATTTCAGAATATCATGTGCTTCTGCCTACGAACAAAATTCTACCCTCGGAATTTTTCTTCAGTTTATTAGCGGTTTTTCGCTTTATTACATTTTTTGCGTTTCGTGAAGGCCCCAAGTTGTTTCGGAGGCAGAATAGAAAACCGTACACTGTTAAAAACAGACGTATCTTACAAAACCAAAAAAGGGTATCTGCATTTGAAACTAATAACTACGGTTTGTCCGAAACTTAGAGTACCTTTTGGATTTTCAGGACACGTTTAAGGGTATTTCTGTTTCTGCAGAATCAAAAAGTAGTTCTTTTAGTTTCAGATGCAGACCCTTAAGGGTATCTTAGGAAGTCCTTTTAGGTTACCGAAGGATACGGTTTTTGGTTTTTCAAGCTACTGTTTTGGTATTTTAGGATACGCTTAGAAAACGATAAAAAATCCAAGCCAGATCTTAGGATCGAACTCAGCGCTGTAGGTATGCAAGTAACAACGTCTGTGTACTAAACTGGCACCTAACCCACTCGGCTAATCTGACTACATCATTTTTACTGTATTTTTCGCCTTAAACATTATCTGAGCTGACGAGGGAACCTATCGAGCTGTAGCTTTCCGATTCCAATTCCAATGATTTATGCATGGATCGATAGACTTCAGTGAGGTAGTAAATACTCTAAAAGGATTCGTGTCCGTGGCTCTTGAAAACCCGGTTTTCTGAAAAAGTAGTTTTTCAGGAACTCCAAAAAAATAATCAAAACCTTTTCTAATGAAACATACTTGTAGCCCGCAAATTTCTGATTAAAATGAGACATTTCCCGGCTCCGCACGACCTTTCTTTGCAAAGTTATAGAATCTACAAAAAAGGCCCCAAATATTCATTGTCAGATCAAAGCTACAGAATTTAGGGCTTTTCTTGTAAATTCTATAACTTTGCAAAGAAAGGTCGTGCGGAGCTGGGAGATGTTTCATTTTAATCAGAAATTTGCGGGCTACAAGTATGTTTCATTAGAAAAGGTTTTGATTATTTTTTTGGAGTTCTTGAAAAACTACTTTTCCAGAAAACCGGGTTTTCAAGAGCCACGGACACGAATCCTTTTAGAGTATTTACTACCTCACTGACGTCTATCGATCCATGTACAAATCATTGGAATCGGACGGTTACATCTCAAAAGGTTCCCTTGTGAGTGCCCTTTTGGTATCCTAATGGAAATGAAATACGCTCTAAGGGTATTTTCAAATGAAAAACCCTACTACTTCCATTACTTGCCTCATTCGGTTTGATTTTGAGTGAGATATGAGTGTCAGATTTTTCCGTGAAAACGTTCCAATACTCTACTTTTCCTATAATTGAGTTTTACTGGGTCTCCAGAAATTTCTCTACAAACAACGATTGTCGCAACAGTGAGCACGGGCGATAACCTACATCTTATTCATTTCTGAAGTAACACATCTTCGTAGTTACCGAAAAACCTTTCCGATGCAAGGTGCCTATTGTCGCGCAGTGAAGCGATACCGTAATAAATATACAATCAACATCCAAGTACAAACTTACTTATAATTTTCTGCACTATCTAGCATACGATAACCTTTCTCAATAGCAGATGCAATTAACGCTACAATTCGCAACAGAAACAACCATTTTATACCGCATGACGGAAAAGAAGACAAGTAACCTTACGTCCATCGAGTCTGTACGTCCCTAAACCAAACATTGGTATTTCCACACCGTCATTCAACTTCATTTTCGACGCTAGGCTTTTTGCTATAGGAGCAGCTAATGTGGTCATATTTATTTCTATTTTGCACTCGTCGTCTAAAGATCTAGAAAAAAACGAAGCTAAGTGGATAAAACTATCCAACAATTTTGAAAGCTTTTTGCCTTTCGAACTTATGATTAGTCTCGGTTAAGGACGGGCAACGATAAGACCCAAAACGCATTGACACTCCAATTCGTCTTATCTCAACTCATATGATGCAGTTTTCCTCCGCGAACAACGCCAGCATATTTTTAAATCTTAAAAATCCTTTTCCGCGCCCATGGAAACACTTTAGCAAAAAAAGATTTTCTCATGTTGAACGACCTTTACTTAAACTATTTACATCATTCCACCAGATTCACCTAGACCAAAAATCAACTATTACACACCGTTCGACAGAGAATTTCACGGGCCTCAAAATAATGTATAAGACAGTCTTTAAAAAAGCAACTCGGTAGTCTACGGTAGCATCTCAGAAAACAGATCAACGTCGTTCATGTCTATAGTATCCATTGATTTTCCCGTGAATTAATCCACCTCATACATCATTCCGAAGAGAATTTCAAAGAATTCAGAACGATATAAAAGATAGCCTTAAGAAAATGTAACTGATCAGTCTAAGACCTGAAATACACTCTAGCATCACAGAAAACCAGTAAGTCAAACGTCGTTCTCCTCCATAATAATGGCTAATCGTCTCGTTAACCAGGTCACTTTGCATACCGTTCGGTAGAGAATTTCACAGCCTTGAGAACGATATATAAGACAGTCTTAAGAAAATGTAACTGGCTCGCCTATGATCCGAAATAGTCGGTGGCGTCACAGTAAACCGGTAGGCCTACGTCGTTCATCTGTATAATACTGACTAATCTTTCCGTTAACTGCTCCATTTTACATATCATTCGATAGAGAATTTCACGGGTTTCAAAATGATGTGTAGGCTTCTGGAAAATCAAGTGCTGGCTTCTTGGTCAAAAAACTTTAGAAGCCACATAGTCTGATAGACCAAGGAATTCTGAGCAAAATAACACATCTCTTTGGTAATTTTCACGGACTGGAATTGCGGGAAAAGCAGTATAGAAAGCCGGGAGATGTCTTATTTTACTCATTCCTTGCTCTATCACAGTATATGGTTAGCAAAATTTTCTCAGAAAAAACCAACGACCTGGTTTTCGAAAAGCCCTGTTAACCACTTTTCTCATGAAAGGCTATAAATTTCAGGGGCTATCCAATGATATGCTTTCAAAAAATACCGTTTCATGATTGCAGAAAACGACTAAGGGAGTCTTCAAACCACTAAGATAGGTGAAAATCATTTTGCCGGCCAGGCATTTCAACTATTGATCAATGTCTGCAGTTTGAGTAAAGGTCGTTCAACATGAGAAGAGTTGTTTTTACTACACTGTTGCTACAATGTTTCCATGGGTGCGGAAGGTGCGAAAAAGAATTTTTAAGATTTAAAAATATGCTGGCGTTGCTCACGGAAGAAATCTACGTCAGGTGAGTTAACATAAGACGAATTTGAGCGTAGGTCGATTTTGGTTCTTATCGTCCTCCGTCCTTTGTTTTACCACCATTTGTAGATAGTTTTGATTCGCATCTAAAACCTTCACAAGCCAGCGTAATTCTAAAAGCCTACCCATCTAGATCATCTCAACAAAAAGGTAATTTCGTAGTTCGACAGAAACAGTTGTCGACAGCGTGTTTTAACAGTATGGAATTTTGAGTCAAAAAATTTCGACACTGTCGAAAGCCCATGGATGTGCAACTCTACTGACTTTCAACTACAAATCCACTCCAACTGTGCTCAAAATTTTTCAATTCTAATTTCAACTCCGTCAACAAAATTCTCAACTCTGGTTAAACTCCGGTTGCTTCCCTTTTTTAAGGAAGATTTTTCGGTTTTGAGCAGGATTTTGGACGTTTTTGAGCTTTTCCGCCCGGAAAGCGCAAAGAATTTGCGAATTCACTCGTGAATACAGCCACTCAATCGTTTAGAAGATCAGTTTTAGAACTAGTGAATATTTCCGAAAATGCAAAACGGAGTTGACAATAAAAATTCAAAAACCCAACTCCAACCTCCTAAAATATCACCTCCAACTCCAAATCCACCAAAAGAATCCTCAACTCCGGAGTTGGGGTTGCCCAGCCCTGTGAAAGCCTGTCGAATTTCGATTGAAAAATTCTGATATTGTCAAAACTTGTACGTATTCGATTTTCGACAGAGGCTTAAAAGTGAATAAATTATTTTGCTGATATTCGTATATTATGAGATTTTAGATATATACGTTTTAGACGTACCGGCGTAAAAACATAAAAGGGTAAAAACGTGAAAGCTTAAAGCCGTAAAAGTGTAGGGTGTGTAAGCGGGGTGGCCATGAGAGTGAGTCACGAGACCACGTTCAATGTCTACCCACTAAGCTCTGGAGACTATGGATATTTTTCTAAGTAGAAAGACAAAATTTTGTGCTCTGTCGACCTCACTCATTTACAACTTCATACAATGTTTCCGCTGCGTCAGCTGGACTCATAACTAGTTCTCAACCGACTTTTCATAATAGCGTAAAGACATAAAAGCTTAAAGACGGAATGATGTAGAGGCATAGAGACGTGGTGACGTAAAGGTGTAGGGATTGTCTACGTCTCTACATATTTACGTTTGTACTTCTTTAGTACAGAAGTGGAGCGAAAAATCTGTCCAAATTTCTCACTCGGAATTCGACAGTTTTGAAGCTTTTGGCTCCAAATTCAACTTTGTCGAAAGCCTGTCGAATTTGGAGCAAAAATTCCGATAGTGTCGAAAACTCACTGTCGAAAAGTAGAACTGTCGAACGACGACAAA